TTTTATTATTATTATTATTATTATTATTTCTATTAAAATAAATTAAACTTTATTAATACTAAATTATATTTATATAAAATAAATTAAATTAAAATAATATAATATAATAATAATAATAATGGAAAGAAATTTGTTTTTTTGGGTGTTACACTGGACGCGTAAAGAGTACCGTCTTGGAATCTCAGCTTGCCTGAGTATACTCACCCGAGTCGAGACCTCGTATTGATCCTTGTCGTAGTCAACCAGCACTGAATTTTTCTCTTCAAATGCGGCGGCATTTTGTGGTTTTTGCGGATGATTAACGTTCTCCGAGTGGATTTTTGCAGATGTTTGGCCGAGTTGCAGGCAGCAGTAGCCATTTCATTGGTTGATGAAGGAAGGAGAGAGAGAGAGAGAGAGCAAGCGTAACGGCCAAGTTATCTTGTCTATATATAAAGAGACTGTATTACATGCGCTTTTAAGAAAATAAAAGGAAAAAAAAAAATCCCTTTCGTCCATTTTCTTTACCTCTCTCCTTATTTCCTGCTTCTCTACCACCCTCCCTCTCTTCTACAAGAAAACTCTACTAACTTCCTCTCTCTGTTTCTTGAACTACACCCACCATGGATTTCGACCCCGCCGACTTGGCGAAGGCAATGTCATTGCTCTCCTTGGGCCGGTTCCACCCGAATGATCATCAGCTAATACTCCATTTCTTGACCCGCAAAGCCATGGGCCTCCCATTGCCTCAAAACAGAATCTACATCACCGCCATTGACAAATGGACGAATCCCCAAGAACTCACTGGTGAGACTTCATCTTTTTTTGTTCCTCCCTTAAATTTCTGTCTGGGTTTGAAGATTTCGTTACAAAAGAATAGCTCGCTCTCTTTGTTGCGGCAGATAAAATACCGCTGGTGGAAGATTCAGAGAGGTATTTTTTTGTAAGAACAGGGATTTTAGTTGCAGATGATCGTCGAGACGATGTGGTTGGTGGAAGGGGATACTGGAAACCAGCGAGTGAAATTGCGGAGGAAATTGTTTTTAATGACGACAAGATTGGTGAAAAAAGGGAACTAATCTACTTTGAAGCTGATGGATCGGAAACCCAGTGGGTCATGGATGAGTATAGGATGTTCTTGGCTGATGAACCTCCTTCTTCCGCTAAACCGGACAATGTACGTGAGTATAAATAAAGCGAACTGGTTATCTTAAAAACGATAAAGAATTTAGAATTTATCATTTTGAGGTTAATCATAATGATGATGATGGGTATGAAACTACTGTTCTTGGATATTGATAATCAGGTCGAGGAATGGTTGGTGTATAAGCTGAGAAACAAAAAGGACGTTGACGTCTATGATAGTACTGATCTGGATGAATCTGATGATGTTGTTAGCCAGATAGCAAGAGAGGCAGCCGCCGCCGCAGCTCTCTGCATTCTTTATGAGCTACTTGACAACGAGGAAGAGGATGCGCCGCCGGCGTCCTCGACGAGCACATCGGAAGATCTGCCAGACCCCAAGCGAAGAAAGGGAAACACGTCTGGTGTTATCGTTGCAGATAATTCTGATAGTGATGATGATAAAAAAGAGAATTAAGAAGCGTTTTATATCGAGTTCTGGTTTTTTTTTTTTTTTTTTTTTTCTTCTATTTCACAGTCTGAATCCACCAAGGGAAATACTCGATTTTGTTGGTGAAATAAAATGAATCTGCAAGTGCTGTTTCTTCATTAAGGGTAAAAAAAGGTCATTTAAAACAGTTCGTTTTCTCTGCAACTAATTCAACTGCAGCAAGTCTCCTGTAAAAAGGACAAAAATTTTGGATGTCAATTAAGGGTAAGTACTTCTGTTAGCTACCAAATTAAAAAATCGCTGAATATATAGTTTTTACATTAAATTAATTAATAAGTTGTGTTAATTTTGGGTACCGATCCTATTTTCTTGAAGGTCATTTGAGTTTTTCTGAAAAATCTTGCATGAGTTTCTTCAGTTTTTATAACATCTCATGCGACTTTTTTTAGGGTTATTTGAGTTTTTTTAAAAAATATTGTGAGTTTCTTCTGTATTCATAACGTCTAATACTTGAATACTGGTTCAGTACATTTTTTTGAAAATATAATGTGAGTTATTGGAGAACTCTAATATTTGATACTTGAAATTTGATTCATCATATTTTTTTTACAGTTCTTTATCATAAAATAGTACAAGTGCTTTATGTAATATGTGATGACTTGAACTTGTAAGGATGATTTAATCTAAAATAAGCTGTTCAATTTAGATAAATGAATGATGGACAATAAAATAAATAAATAACCCAACAGAAAAAAGTAATTAGGTTTCTTATGCTTAATCTAAATCTTACAAAAAACAAAAATAGAAGTTGGTAGATTTTCAATATTAAGGAAGATAAGAACAAACAAAGAATAAGCATACCTCCATTTTTGCATTTTGAAAAACAATTCACGAGTTTGATCTCTCCGATTATGTCTAACATGCAACCTAATCATCATGTTATTCATATCACTCTGAGTATAATAATTCTTTTGATTTTTCATCTACCAAAAAATATCATATAAATATTTTTGGATTGCTTTATTATATTATATTCTCTTAAATTTTAAAACGTTATATAAATATTTTTAATATTATATGAATAGTTTAAAAAGTATAAAATTTTAATTTTATTTTGAAAAAAGAATAAAAGTTTGCTTTCTCTAATCTGTTTAAATAATTTATAATTTGTGATTCAATTTTTTATTAGAATAGGTTTTGAGGGGTTTTTGCTCTATTCAACTGTCTATTTTCTAATATAATCTTGTTATTAATTATATATTTTATAAATTTAAAATTTAAGATTAAATTTAAGTTGTTAATCAAATTAAGATAACTTACTGTTCTCAAAAAGTTAATTTCTAAATAAAAGGTTTGATCTATAAATTTGAAAAATTCTTTTCAATTCATCATCTCTTTATATAAACTGCCAAAATTTTGCTAGAAAAAGTAACAAAAATTCTTTCTATTGAACTTACATTTTGTTTTGTTTTTTTTTTATAGATTTGGAAAGTTAAAAACAAATAGTATTAACGTTAATAATTTTAACAAGAACAATTAATTTGTTCACAAATTTAACAAGAACAAGTTTTTTTTCAAGTTTCTTAACTATCATAAATGATTACTATTATCTCAACAGTTTAAAATAGAATCTTACTTGAAAAATTGAAAGCATGCAGCATTGCAGTGTATGTAATAATGTCAGGACTACAACCAGCCATCTTCATCACGTTGAACACTTGTTCTGTCTCAGCATTTGTAATATAATCAGAATATAAATAAGATAGTTTTATAAAAAATATTAAAAATAACATTTTAATTTTTTCATAAATTTTTCAAAAAGTCACAATCATATTCCTAAAGGGTTCTAAACTTAGTAATTTATGATAAACAATATATTATAACTCAATCCAAGTACATAAAAAATTTCAAATGTTTTTTTCTTATCCAGATTCCAGTTTTAACAAGAAAAAAAAGAGAATGAAACGCACATTAAATAAGACGCACTAAGATTGATATAAATATAAATACACACAACTGTACCTAGCATGTCTTCCATGACATTTATAGCCCAACGGCATTGACCAGCTCGATCATGTGTATTGATAAGTTTGAACATATAGTTCGCATATAGCAAAGAACCTCTAGATTAACTTAGAATTATAGGAGAGACATCAAATAAAAGTTATTTTGTACAAATAGAAAATTTTCAAAATGAATAATGATGATAACAACAATAAAAATAATAATACCTCCATCTGTGTATCTAGAAGAATAAAATTCACAAGCTTGATTGGTCTGATTATATCTAGAATGCAGTTTGATCATCTTGTTATACATATCGATCCGAGTAAAATAGTTTTCTTCCGATCTTTCATCTAATGAAAAACTTTAATGCTATGCTCAACAGAGTAAAATTCAAATTGCATTTCGCCACCAATTTCCAAAAATATTGAGATTACTATAATGTGAAAGAGGGAGAACGAAATATCCTAATCAGGGAAAATTATTATAGCGAAATGCCGCATCCAGTGATTCAAGACAGCTTCTACATCCTCCCAAAGGTCGAGCTCAATTACTCTTTCTACCACCTCGGACACCGTCCATTCCAGCTGAATGCGTAAAGCGTACCGTCTTGGAATCTCAGCTTGCCTGAGTCCACTCTCCCGAGTCAAGACCTCGTGCTGACTCTTATCGTGGTCAACCAGCACTGAATTTTTCTCTTCGAATACGGCAGCGTCTTATGGTTCTGCAGACGATTAACATTCTGCGAGTTGATTTGAGGAGAGGTGGAGGAGCTACAGTAACCATTTCGTTGGTTGATGAAGGAAGAAGGGAGAAAGAGAGAGTAAGCGTAACGGCCGAGTTATCTGGTATATATAAAGAGGCTGTGTTATCACGCGCTCTTAAAAAAATAAAAGAGAAAAAACAATCCGTGTTATCACGCGCTCTTAAAAAAATAAAAGAAAAAAAATAAGCTCTCTCGTCCACTGTCTTTACCTCTCTCTCCTTATTTCCTTCTTCTTCTTCTCTACCACCCTCCCTTTGTTATACAAGAAAACTCCACAAACTTCCGCTCTCTGTTTCTTGAACTACACCCGCCATGGACTTCGGCCCCGAAGACTTGGCGAGCGCAATGTCATTGCTCTCCTTCTGCCGATTCGACCCGAATGATCATCAACTAATAATCAATTTCTTGAACCGCAAAGCCATGGGCCTCCCATTGCCTCAAAACAAAATCCAGACGGACGCCATTGACAAATGGACGAATCCTCAAGAACTCGCTGGTGAGACTTAATGTTTTTTTTTTTCGTCTGGTTTTTAATATTTTGTTACAAAAAACGCTCGTTCTCTTTGTTGGCGCAGATAAAGTACCGCTGGGAAGAGATTTAGAGAGGTATTTTTTCGCAAGAACGGGGATTTTAGTTGCAGATGATCGTAGAAATGATGTGGTCGGTGGAAGGGGTTACTGGAAACCAATGAGTGAAATCACGGAGGAAATTGTTTTTAAAGACGAGAAGATTGGTGAAAAAAGGGAACTAATATACTTTGAAGCCGATGGATCGAAAACCCAGTGGATCATGTATGAGTATACGGCGTTCTTGACTATTGAATCTCCTTCTTCTTCTCCTGAAGCGGAAATATGGGTGCTGTATAAGCTGAGAAACAAAGGGGACGTTGATGAATATGATAATGTTGTTAGTGGGACAACAGGAGAAGCAGCCGCCGCCGCAGCCCTCTGCGTTCTTAATGAGCTAGCTGACGATGAGGAAGAGTATGAGCCGCCGCCGGCGTCGACGGACACATCGGAAGACGGGCCAGATTCCAAGCGAAGAAAGGGAAACACATCTGGTGTCGTCGTCGCAGATACTCTGATAGTGATCATGAGAATATAGAGAAGTAAGAAGCGTTTTGTATCGAGTTCTGTTTTCTTTCTTTTTTTTCTTTTTTCTTTTTTCTTTTTCTTTTTCTTTTTCATAGTCTGAATCTATACCAATGGAGATACTCGGTTTTGTTGTTGAAGTAGAATGAATCTACAAGTGCTGTTTGTTTTCTCTGCAACTAATTCAATTGCAGCAAGTCTCCAGTAAGACCTGCAGTAGAAATAGTAATAATAACATAAAAAAATGCAGTGTGTTTTTCATGCCATTGATGGCTTCGACAAAGAAGCATAAGAATTTTGAATGCTAGTTATGTTGTTCCAAGTTGAAATTAATGGTAAGTACTTCGCTTAGCTACAAAGTTCAAAAAAATTTGCTGAACATATAGTTCTTATATTAAAGTAGTTAACAAGTTATCTTATGTTCTTAAAGATTCTCAATCTATCCAATTGTGCCAGTTTTGTTGAAGATGGTTTTATTTTTTCTCAAAAGTATGGCAAAGGGTTTTTCAGTGTCACAACGCTACATTTTCTTAAAAATATAATGCAAGTTATTCAAGTTTTTTTTTTAAAAAAGTATAACATATATTATTTTGGAGTCTGTAATATTTAATATTTAAATGTTAGTTCAGCATATTTTTATTTTTTTTTTATGATAAAAAATTGAAAAAAAAAAAAAGTAAACATACATTTTATCTTAGAAAGAATAGTAATTATCAAATAAGTTAAAATTTTCATCATAAACGTAAATTGAGTTACTTTATTATTATTATTTTTTTTTTCTTTTTAGATTTGAAATTAAGGCATTATTTTTTGAGATTTTTTTTTTAAACCTGTAATACTTAATTTTCATACCATATATTAGTCAAATAGAATAAATAAATAATAAATTCATTTTGCTAAAATTCAAAATGACATAATTTTTTTAATTAAAATTTGACAATCTGGGTTCAAATAATTCTCCACTGCCCCAAAAAAAGACAATTATATTTGTGATGTAATAGGAGTATATTACCTTAAAAAAGTTCTCTTGTTTTAAAAATTAATAAATTAAATTGTTCTCTAATATTAATTTAATTGTTTAAAAGATAATATTTTTTGTATACATTAAGTTAGCTTTTGAAAAAAAAAAAAATCTCTTCATCTAACATATTTTTTAACTTAATAATTTCTAATTTCATGCATATATAAACACGAATTTGATATATATGTTAAAATACCATAATATAATATATCTATTTTTTTATTTGTTATAAATATGCATTAAAGAAAAAAAAAAACAAGCGGCCAACGGTCATTCCAGCGAAATTTGTTACACTTACCCAGCAAGATTCACTCAAGAAAGAAGCCAAGGTTAACAAACTTAACAACCGTCAACAACTGAATAACTAATTTCAAAATCTCTCTCTACAAAAAGCAGAATAAAAAAAAACCTCTGAAGAAATTAACCTCGCAAGAAACTATACCATGTACAATATATATAATAGCAAGAACTTTGAGGACATAACTTATCAACTCCAGGGCTAAACTGGACAACAATGATACAGGTCAAAATCTCAAAATCATCCCATTGCCTAAATGAGGACTTCCTCGAAGCTCATCACAAATAAACTCCGAGTACATTGTTGCCTTTTGGCTTTGATCCGGTCACAATCCATATCTTTTTTTTTTTTTTTACTTTCTCCCTATTTCCTATAAAATGCCAGTCCATGAGTTGCATTTTGAATACATTGTTCCTCAGGAATAATGGATCCCTCTGTTGTAGTAATTCGAAGGGATAGGCCTGGTGAAGCTCCTCATGCTGCAGGGTGTGGGTATTATGGCTAGATTGTGCACCCTCAAACCAGCTTATCATGTCTTTCCAACCTTCTTCTGCTTCCGTAACTTAGAACCAGAAGAAGATACATCACCTGCCCATCCATCTTTTGTCACGGGACTCTTCTCCATCTTTCTCTTCTGCCCAACTTTTGGGCCTTTGCCAAAGTCCTTTCTCCCTTTTCTCCCCCTTCCTCCTGGTCCCAAATTCACTGAGTTTTTGCGGTTTAAATCTTTACCTTTTTTTGACGGTCTAAATCTGCCACTACTAGATATACCAGGCTCTGTCAGGTCAGTAAGTCTGAAAGTGTCCGTCTTCTCCCTCTTTCCTTTTCTATGCTCTGTGGAACCCTTTACCCCTGGTAGATTATCCAATGCTTTCCTTTTCCTCTTTTGCAGCCTGAAAAATATGGATCAATGTTAATGACAAGAAACCATCAAAAACGTTAAGTAGATCAGCAGATAATATTTAATCAGACGTATAAAGCAATTGGACCCTTTGGTGGAAGAATCCACTGCCACAGTTTCTGTATCACCAGAGCTTTCTTTAGAACATGTTTTGGCATGACGGTTCTGCAATTTGATAGCCACCATAAATTAGAACATGATTTCCATCAGACACCTCAAAAGAGTGAAAAACAGCAAGTCACAATCCACCAGATATTTCCAGTACAGAAGACGCGCAGATACTCATATTTTAATTGTTTTAACCATACACACTTAACTGCTCAAGTATTCCATGACTTAGTTTACAAACACATGGTATCCATTAAAATGATACGATACAAGACCAGATAAGAGTGCAGATTGGGATCCTTTATGGGAACAAGTGATACAAGTACAAGGACCTGCCAAGCTAAAAGACTCAGGCTCTTTACAAAATCTCATTGTGACAAGGCCAGTTCAAACTTCATATAATAAGTACTCATTATTATATCCAACAGTAACAAATCAGAGTTCTCATAATCAGATTAATTTCGTTTAATGCAATGAAAAAGTAACAGAGAAAAGTGACATCAAGCAAAAAGAAGAAAACCTCTATAACAGTTTTGACAAAACCCTTATATTTATGAGGAGTAACTGATTCAACTGCGGAAGAACTGCATTTCCTTATGATAATCTCCAGTATGACTGTCACCTGCAGATAAAATAATGCACAAAGTGTGAGAAGACCTTTCTGAGCACAAAAGACTTCAGAGAAGCAAGCATATGCAATCACAGAACATAAAGCTTATTGCTAAAGTTGCAAGTGCCTTGGATCTGAAATGATGTCTTGATACAGATGACCATCGGAGAATTTCATTGGCTACTTCAGAAAGAAGATTCTGCAGGTCTTTAGCTTGCAAGGAAGACACTAGTACTTTCACAAAGCCCAGAACAGCCTGTTCAATTTGTAAACATCATCTACAGATGGAAGCTAACATCAATGACAGTAGAAGTTGACACAAGGAAATACTCACTTTTATAACTTCATTCGCTTTGCAGTGAAGCAAAGATAAGAGCGATGGAACAAGCTCAGGCATTGAGAGGCAGATCTCAGAATCCTTATAAACCAGTACAGATAGTGCTGACACTGCTGCACTCTTTATGTGCGGAGATGAACCAGAAGATATCCTGCTACCTGCT